TGAAGGCCTCCGATAAATTATTCGGAATCGATACTGCTTCTTCAAGGTAGGACACCGAGCAATGGGAGAGCTCAAACGGGTATCCAAAGCATTTTGCTCCCGAACCAGGTCTTGCAACTCAAACGGTGGTCCGGATCCGTAATGAAGAGAAATTCGCTCCCATAGTATACCCACCATGGTATTGTCCCGTCTGGCAATGTCTGCGTTGGAGAGGTATTCTGTGGGCAGGACAGAGCTCATGGTATAGCGCCAGACACTGGCTGAGGTGTAGAAACATCCTCCCTCGGCAGCAGTGTGACTGCTTCACCACTTGAAAAGGGTTTTAAATGGGCAATATTAACCCTCTCGAAAGCCGACGAGAAGCCAGGCATTCCATAAAACAATGGAGAAAGCTTCGCACGTCCTATATCTTGCGGGTATCTAAGACACTTGACCGGCCTGAGACCCATGCCTGCTCGAGCTTGCTTTTTCAACCGACCTAAAACGACCTCTATGTTATGCGTCATGTATGAGATGATCTAAACCCCTATTCCAAGCCTCATGAAGAGCAGCGTTTCATTATAATAGCAGGTGCGACCCACTTTTATTCCTCGTCCTCATCCTCATCCTCGATTACCCTTCTTCTCTTTACCCTCCCCCCAGCGGCCTCTTCACTGTTTCTCTTCTTTGGTTTCTTTTCCTCCCCATCCTCCTCGTCCCCATCATCGCCCATGTCAATATCCTCCTCACTCTCCTCACTCTCCTCGCCAACTTCCGGCTCCACATCACTTCCCACCAAAAACCCATCTTCCTCGTCATACTCGTCCTCCCTTGTGCGCCCTCTGCCTCGGAAGTCCTCTTCATCCTCGCTGTACTCGCTATTGCGACGTCTTGACTTCCGACTCTTCGACTTGCCGGTCCTTCCTTTCGTAGTGGCCATGCCGTCGTCATCTTCCAAACCGCCAATGGTAAGGCCAGCGCCCATTCCACCCGTGCGTAAGCCCGAGCGCTTGAGAACATTACTGTTCCGAGTAGATTCTCGGTCTTGCTGTACCTGCATGCGGCGCTGCATTTTTGACTTCTCCTTTTCAGCTAATTCAGCCCTTTTCTTTGCAAGTTCCGGATCTTCATTGATGCTGATAACTGCCAAGCCGCCATCCGAAGTGTTCTTGTTGCCTTTCTGCGCAGCGGCTAAAGATTGCTGGAGGCGCGCTAGCGCCTCGTCGTCTTGATCCGCCGAAGATTGGACCGCTAGCGACGCGGTGATGTGATTTGTGAGGCGGACAATCTCGCCAAATTCGTGAGGGGCAGCGAGATAGGTATGAGAATCAAGGCGGGAGTTGTAGGGCACCGGACCCTGGTTACGATTACGGTTCACAGATGTTGGGGTGGGCTTGATTGGATTGCTTTGTGGTTGTGTGAGGGGCTTTGCAGCGAGTTCGAATTGCTCGCGAGGGTTTGATGCGAGCTGAAGGGTCAATGAACCATCGGACCAGCGGAGAACTCGTGCATTAGATTGGGTCTTCTCTGGGTCGCTAGGTGAGTGTTTCCAGCGTATGGTGTTGTTGGATGTCTGATACGCTGAGAACGTGGACGAAGGCGGATCGGAAGAGTGATGATCGGTGGTCGGAGGTTTGAAGTTCTTCAATGTGAAGCCTTCCGGACTGATGCCAATGAAATTGGGTAATTGAAGCAGATAGAGCTATTGCAAGTCTTAGTACGATATTTTTACCCTTGGGTAGACCAAGCATGGGTGAAAATAAACACCTCGCCGTCACTTGGTTGCGGAACAGGATGACGGCCAATGGAGATATCCAAGATATTTGCCAAGCGATCGTACATCTCCTGTTCCTTGCCGTGTCCATTGACGCCATCTTTAACACGATCAAGTCTGCCTTCATCGTCTCCAGAATCTAGCTCGGCGTCATCGAGTTTGCGACGTTTATTACTAATACTCTCGGTACTGAGATTACAAAAGTCAGCTTCGTCTCATCGTAGTATAGAAAAGCTTCATACCCGGATTGCTCGTCTTCTGATCCTGATCCAAAAAGGCCCCCATCATCCTCGTTATTGAGCTGATCGTCGACCTGGTCCTGATCACTGGCTATACTGACATCCTGTTCGTCAGACATTTTCAGGCTGTCCAATGATTTGCGTGCGCTGAAAGACTTAAAGTCCGGAGGATTCGGCGAGGTAGCTAGGTGCTCATCGCTTGTGACTGTATGGAAGAAGTTTGATCTCCACTCGCCCTCCGTAGGTGATCTTCCAAAAGTCCAGGATTTAAAATGAGTGGTGTATTTGTGACATGATGTAGATGTAACTCCGATGATCTGTTTTGAGTGGTAATCCTGTAAATACTTTGGGATTTGGAGAATGAGGTGGATTGATCTCGGAACAATACCTCTCCCGATCGCCGGAACTAGCTGTTTCACCTAACACAAGCGAGACGTCGCTTCCCGACTAAGGAAACCATTAACCAAACAAGGGGTGTCTTCCAAGGTTCTTTGTTCAATCTCATCTGTTCCAGAAGGGGAATCCATTCTCTTTTCTTGTCAACATATATCGTCAAATGACGCACTTCATTGCTGAAGCAGCTGAAATTTTATCAACATCAATGCAGGCTTGTCAATGTTATTAGAACTAAACACACAGTGGCTTCCCTGCTCATGATGACTTCTTGGCTCCGTAACATGTAAGTCTCATCACGAAAGCAGGCGTTAAGATCTGCTGGGCGTGGATCATTTTCTGTCTTACCTTGTCTTTGAAGACTTGCTTAGTCGCCTCAGTGGTCAACCAGAATTTCTTTCGCATGCGAGTCACTGAATTTCTCACCCCCGACTTCTACCATCATGCCACTGCATCACCCTCAGCTCCCTGGTATTGGCTTTTGACCGTGTTGCTCTTGGCTTTCCTTTGATCCTTCCGCACCACACACGCACTTCTTCCTGTCTTATTTCCCAGCTACACCAAGAATGCCTTTCTGTACTGTGTTCCGTGTTACAGAGCTTATGCCGTCGAGTGGACATCTTCGTACCAATGCAGTGGACTTGCGGTATCCCCCTTCCTTCATGCAGTTAAGAACGAGTCGTGTAGAGCAAGAACTACCTATCTCCTTACGCTATCAAGATGGATTGTTTAGCTCACTGACTTTGGTGCGCTACCTCAGGCGACAAGGCTTCAATCGTCAGAACGAAGGCACCGGAAATATCAATACGAGCCAGCAGAGAGCCAACGGCTCCCCAAATCCTTCGCCGACTACCTTCTCGCCTACGATGCCGCCACTCAATCAATCTTCATCATTTTCATCCAACACTGGCCTGAGCTCGGACAGTGTCGCCAGTAATGCAGAACAACCCGCCGCAGCTGAGCCGCCTAAGTTTTTCTTTCGAGAAAAATACGCCAAGTTAGGGGTGAAAGGCAACTTTATGCCTTTAGCAGCTCAGCCTGCAAATGTGGACCTTGCGGATTGGCTCGCTCACCAAAGTCTGTAGAGTCGTTGACATCTTCTATGAACTACAGGTTTGCTAACGGGTAATCGGACAGCTGTCGAGAACTATCGCATCGTCTCGACCATTGGTCAATGCATCCAGGAAACAGACCACAACACTGGAAAGCCAGTGTGCAACTCCGACTCATGCCCAAGAATGGCTGCTGGACGGTGAGCCTATCCGATGACCTCCAAAGAGATGTTTCTGACCTTCGACAGCCACACGTATACATGGTTGGACCACAAGAAAGACCCGGTTGCCGTGTCGGCACCGCAGTACATCTCTTTAGTCCAGAGGTGGATGACAGGCAAGATCCACGACCCCAAAGCGTTCCCTACCGAGACTCCTACTAGATCCGCGGATACGAACACGCCCGGCAGCGTGAATACTGACGGTCGCGATTGGATTGGCAAGAGCGCAGGCTTTCCAGAGACATTCCTCCACGACTGCCGCACATGCTTTCGTCAAATCTTCCGCATCTACGCGCACCTTTATCACTCTCATTGGGTCGACCCTTTCTGGCACTTGAGCGGGCAGAACAACGGACAAGGTTGGACTGACCTCAATTCTTGCTTCGTCCACTTTTGCACAGTCGCCAAACTCTACGGCCTTCTCGCGGACCGGGATGCGGAGCCGATGCAGCCTTTGATCGACGTTTGGATTGCCAACGGGTCTATTCCTGCCGACGCAGCAAAGGGCGCTTGCGCTATTGTGCCGCCCCAATAGGCGGCGAAGCGCAAGAGCGATTGAGCGTAGCCACTCAGCAGTGCCTAGCGTATGGGATTCTATTGCATAGCGGGCGATACGGCGAAGTAACGGTCAATTTGTACCAAAGGGGCAGAGGAATGAATGGATAGATCATGCGAACTTCGTTTTCTAAGCAAGTCATCAAGGGCACAGCTTCGATGACATACAACTCGCTTCGAAGACATTACAGCAATCTGAAATTCTCAACCCGTCTGAGGACGTTCCTGCGCCTGAGCAAGGGCTGTCGCAGATAATAAGACTTTTTTTTTTTTTTTTTTCTGGATACGGTCAGATGTAGATTTCGCGAGACGGCCTCATTCGTGAGTCTCAGGAAATTGAGGAATGATGAATGACGAATGACCTCAACGTCAGTCAGCAGCGCGCCAAGTCATTCGGGCAATCTGAAGGTCGCCTTTTTCATTTTTCTTCTTTGCTCCTGCAGCAATCATATTCACCGAAACAGAATCTCTCAATCTCTCAACCTCTCAACCTCTCCATATACCCCTTTCTCACCTGCTCCTTCTCCTCTTGCATTGGGAAGTACTTGCTGGCAACTACTTTCAGATACCCACTTCCTACAGCATCAAAAATCCAATTATTTCCCCCCGTTTTGCAACGAGCTCTCTAAACCTCAAATTCGACGCGGCGCCCTAAAAAACTGCCTGTGGCTTCGCCATCCAAGCTCAAACAAACAAACTCAGAAACCTTTTAGAATACTAAGAATAGAAGCCAATCAACATCACGGCCCACATAGTCTCGATTTGCCCAGATACTCAGCACAGGTAGATGCCAGACGAACCCGCGGATCCAGTCTTGCGCGATAATGAACCGATTACACCGGCTGTCAAGACTACAGGCCCTCCGCCAGTCAACAATCCAAGCCTTCCGATTGTCAACGACGCATTGGACATCTTGCGTGGGCCGCTACTGAATTATAAGGGCATGCAAATTGTTGAGTCCGAGGTCCCGGCGTTCTGGCATGGGAATGTCTTGATCGTTGCCAACCCGGTTTTCAGCTCACCCATATCTAAAGCTCGAGTGCCTCGGGATCCGGAGCCAGATGGGCCAGAGCGGATGCTCACTGCCAAATGACATTGACGAGCCTGAGAACGTACGCAAGGGATCGACTTCCAACCCACCAGAAGTACGTCATGCGAGTGGGAATTCTGTCGTCAAGCACTATTCAGACTCAGTCAAAGAGTTCTGGCGTTTTGCAGTAGATTTTGCGCTTAAGGATCACAAAGCACGCTGGCAGTATGCACTGACAAACGAACGACCTTCTGGCAGCGAACCATGAACTTCTCCTTTCCGTACCTTCGTCATGCCGCCGGCTTCTCAATCCATGCGTATCATGTTTCACTGCTGCAATGGTTTTTCTGTTGGAAAAGATGAGGATGAATGGTCGGGCCCCGCATTGTGGAACGATGTTCTCCGCGTACACGCACAGAAACCATGCCATGCTATGGTAGGAGGGAAGACCAGATCTATAATGGTGGTGTGAGGGTGGACGCCTTATTGAAATCTTGGACAGAGATTGGGAATCCGAAAAAGAGGAGAGGTTACCCTTTCGATGAGGAGCTGCGAGCCGCCTGCGATTCCTACTATCTGCTCATCATATAAGTTTGCTATTCAAATGACTTTAGTTCAGTTCGTATCGCCCTTTGAACTGAAGAGCTGTTTCGCAACCTTTCAATTGCCAGATTCCGTGCCATGATGATTTCTTGCAAAAGTAGAGGTTGACGAAGATGTTGTTTAGGTGAGATGGTTTTTTACGGAGCCCTTTGCCATCGCCAACGGCCAGATTCCACAAATAACCACTTGGTAAGCCTGTTTACTTTTGCGTCTCACCACCTAATGAAAGCTGACAGAGTCTAGATACTATTGACGTTCTTGACCCTACACCGACAACTTTATGAAACGCGCTGTCTTCCGCGGCATTGGCGGTGTTTCCTAAAGTACTATTGCCTCTTCCAACACCACATCCCACCTCCTAAAGTCTCATTCACTTCCCCTACCACGCGGCAAAAGCAGTCCATCCTTCCCGAACATCAGTCTGAAGACTCGAGCTTTGTCATAGGGGAATGCCCTGGCCCGTACCCTTCGGAACACTCCCGTTCTCTATATAGTTGCTTGAGCACAACTCTTGCCTTCCTTGGTGTTGACGGTCGCACCGAGAGAACTCGCCGAAGGGTCAACTACCCAGACACCTTTGATGTAATCTTCCAGGGAGTCCGCTCTGAGCTCTCGGGAGGGAAGTGCAAAATTACCCACCTCGTTGTCCTCCTAGAGATCCCTATAACATACCCTCGTTTCGTCTGGCTCGAAAAATTTGTTGAAATCTCCAGTGATAGGCCCTATCCGCTTTCTCAGCAAGCGCTTTAGCGTTGCCGGAAAATTCTTCAATCGTTTCGATGGCCAGGTAGACTCCTTGACGATCTGGACGACCATAATACTGCGCGCCGGCATACACAAGAGAGAAAGGATCTTTTGCTTCGTCTTCAATCTCTGGCCCAAGACCATAACGTTAGGGTCGCAGTTCTTAGCGGCGACGTCCACGTTGCAGCCCTTGGCCGCTTTTACACCAAGACTGAGCTGGGTGTACTAGTAGAGCATGATCATCGTTATATGGTAAATTTGATTGCGTCAGCTATATCGAACAAGCCGCCTCCTGAAGCGATAGCGGACTTTTTGGCTCGGAGAGACAGGATTCACCACCTCGACCATGACACCGATGAAACGCTAATGAAGATGTTCGACAAGGACCCAGGGAGACTCGAGCAGAATGTCACGTCCCATGATGTCTGGTAGAAATTACGCGATCATCAGTATCAATCCTTTGAACTCCATTGGTTCAATCCATGCCAATGGACATGGCATCCATAGAGACTATGAGCCATCATCAATACCCCCATGAATAAATAGAAACCCCGCAAAGAATGGGCAGTTCCCGCTTCATCATAGCGAGGAAGGGGCAGGTACGGAACATCCTGCTGCAAGTGGTATGGGCGAGGGGACATTGCTCTGAGGATTGGACGTGTGCTTTCGAGTGGAAGTGGATCATCGCGGCAGTAGAGACGGGAGGACGGAAAGGTATGGGTCCAGTAGTAAGTCAAAAGTTTCAACAGCACCGGATGTAAGCTGACGGTCTACAGTACCGCCACTGAGTTCGAATCAGCCTTAGAGCTGACAATGGGGCTTAAGGAAATTGACGTTTGAACACAGGGCTGTGCACTTTCTGCCTACGGATGGAGATTTCGCGCCCTGTGGCAGCGTCGACACCCAGTATAGGTGCATGGGCGGAGGTCTCGCTGCATATTTGCGAACGTGATACCAAGGGCCTATTTGAACTCTAAATATACTACATTTATGTACTTCTCTTTTCCTTGATCTTATAGAGCGTTCGCCCCAGTAAAGGCCCCTACCATGCTCTTCAACCTACCTGCATCCCCACAAATCGAGGTTTCTGCAATGGTCTAGCGCACTTTGTAGGCGATCCACGGACGACCCTACCCGGCACCTTCAACATCAAAGCTCGAGTAAACAGGTATACATCGTCTTATACTAGAACGTCCTGATGGCTAGATGATTTCTTCATGTGAGCTGTGCGTTCAGAAACAGCTTCTCTGAGAAGCCTCCGAAGCTGCCTCGTCGTCCAAAAGTAAGTTTCGATTTTGTAAGAGCTCCAAGCGCGAAACTGGGCCAGAAATGCTGATGGTTCCTTATCGAACGGTTCGAAAATACGGAATTCCAATCGTGCAACGGCGAGACCTTAACCCTTGCCAAAGTCCTTTGTGAAGAAATGCTTTCTCTCAGCGTTCTTCCATTTAGGATCGGTGGACCGAATGAGTGCGCCAGCACCAATACCTGCACAATAACCGGACAAATGGCCCATATTGTCGACGTGTGGCCTTCCTGTATTGAGCAATTTGGTGGACGCGATACCCCATTTGCGCAGGCTCATTGCTTCGAAAAGAATGAGGAAAAGGAGAAGAAAAGCGGTATCAATCCCTCTTGTCCATGCTGGTGGTAAGAAAGGGAGTGTAATGTTTTGGCTAGATAGGTGTTAGAAGTAATCGAAATTGCTTCCACAACATGCAGCTTACCCTTCATAAAGAACGCAAGATGTCCCAAGAAGTGCTGTTATGACACCACTAGCTCCTAGCGTACTTGTACCGAGGAAATTTCTCATGACATAAATAACCATGGGTATATATGCTGCAATCACTGCGCTAGAAAAGTAGAGAGCTAGAAACGGCCCGCGACCAATATCGTCGTGTACTATTTCGCGTGGTCAGATCCAGCATATTGAAGGTTAGGGGATGGGTGTAAACATACGGCGAGTGCCGATGAGCCACATAGGGATGACATTTGAGAGCAAATGGGCGAAGGACTGGTGGCTGAAACAAGCCGTAAGCATTGACATCGAGTGCGGATATGCAGGCACCACGAGGAAGTATCTATTCAGGAATGTCCAGAAGGGCGGTAGCCTCCACAGCACAAAGACTGCAACATTGACACCAATTAGTGTGATTACGGTGGCAGCAGCGGGTGGTAGATCTGGCCAAAGTCGGGCTTTGCGCGAAGGCTGCTTGTAACTCTGTGCAAACAAGACGGCGAGTGTCACAACCGCGAGTGTCACAAGACCAGAGGGTAGGAGTTTTGCCCATGCTGACGTCTCCGGGAGTTCTTTCATCTGTGCTTTGTCTCGATACTTTTGGACCCATTCTGGCTCTTGGCGTAGCTGGACGAGGGCCGTTCCATCTCTTACTGTCACCCTTCTCTCCGCCTTGGGACCTTCTTCTGCTAGGCTTTCTTGATTTTCCGTCTCTTGTTTTGCCTTTTCTTCTTTACGTCTTTCTCTGTTCTCTCGCATGAGCTTTTCAAATTGAGACACCGCTTGAGGACTTTGGTCGATGTTCGTTTGGGGTAGTCGAAATTCCAGATCTGCCTCCCTGTCTATGCGTGCGAGGATGGCGGCGTCTTCGTCAAAAGGATATTTTGCACGAAGATATGTCAGGCCTTTGTCTATTAAGGCATCAGGATATGGCAACTTCTGGTCCAAAGTTCCGTGATGTCTGTGCTCTTGTAGACGCTTTAGGAGGTCATTGCCGTCTCTCCGGTCTACCTTCAATCCAAACACTGCCTTGATCTCGGCTCGGGATATGGGAGCCAGGTTTTGAGCAGCTTTTTGCCTCGGTGACTCCTCCGGTTTGCTCTTCCACAGGCTTGCGCATCTTGCCTGTCCGCTGAGTTGGGGGAAATGTCCGTAAGGAGCTATTCTTGGCCTTGCATTGCATCTTTGGGTAGGAGAACCTGGTGAGCACTGGAAAAACCCATGTATACTACGGGGATGCTGCTTTGGCTGGCTTGAAGAGCTGAGGTTCTCCCGCAACGTTGCGAGACCTGCCCGTCCAATCGGAGAGGCATGTAGCCCAAGGCGAAAAGATAGCCATGCCACCGAGAGGACAGCGGTCATCTCACGCCTTTCACTCTTATTAGCAGCAAAAGCGCACGATATTGAATGAACTTTATCTCAATCATAAAAGGCGAACTACTTTCTCGTAGTGAATCCTCAACACCAATTGCCAAGACATCGGAAAGTCGGGGCCTATTGATTCAGCCACAGCTTTCAGCAGTCGCGGAATTTTGTTTGCAACACCACTTCAATGTCCTCGACTGCTATTCCAATACCACCCCAGCGCTTCGCGGAAGCCATCAAAGAGCTGCCTCTTGCCAATCTACACTCCAAAGCTGCCGAAGTTCGCAACTCGATCGCACATCTCTTGATTTCGAACCAGCAATTGCAACCATTTGCAGATGAAGGAGATTCTGATTGTGCTGAAGCAATTCAAGAGAATCTAGTGGTCACCCAGAGGATGGAAGAGCGAATCTCGTTGCTAAAACGGGAAGTCGAGGGTAGAGGGTTCAAGTGGGGTGAAGATGAAACAAAGCCAGAGAATGTAGAGTCGAATGGGCATGCTGGTGTCGAAGAGATCGAAAGGGTATCACGGATTACGAGTACCCGTGGTGGGCCGAGTACACCGCGTTCTGGTGGACAGCTTGGAGATGAAGAGCTCGCCCGAAGATTAAGGGAGCAGATGGAAGAAGATGATGACGATGAGGCTCAAGATGGTGTGCACCTGTGAGAGAGCTAGGACATCGGTTTACAGGAAGTTGGAGTATGCCTGAGCATTGCATTTGGGTTTCAGCGGAGAGCTCCTACGAAGATGGGGAACTGCGAATACAGACTGGTGACTTGCCGATTTTGAGTGTTAGTAGTGGATAGCTTCGCGCCGAGCCCTCCAGCGAAACTGAAGACAAAAAGCTCGTACTGGGATAACATCGCCAAGCAGCGTCTGCGAGGTCAGTCGGGCCCCTGCAGAATCGGAATCTGAATTTGTCTCTGGTGTTGGCGGCCTCAATTCCAAGCTTCCTCTTGCCCAGATATTTAGCTGAGGTCAAGGGAGTCAGTCCAAACTTTAACGAAGTGCACAATACCCAGGGCCGTCAATACTGTTGGAGCAAGTGAGCCTTCATCTGGCTGGTAAGGCATGTCTTGCCCGGGAGCACAGCGATTCAAGCCCGCTGTCTAATTCTTGAAGAAGAACGTATGCCTGAATGCCAGGCCTTTTGCCACACTCCTGAGCCAATCAAAAAGGAAGACATCCTTCTAGTTGATCGATTCAGAGGCATCTTACCGTGGGTCACCGGTCTATCTCTGGCTCCAAGTCTTGGGACTCTACCCCCGTTGTCATGCATGTGAGGTATATTCAGGAAATCATCTCTAATTTGATTAGTTGGCTACAATCGCAAGCACCTATGCCTTTTTCGATCGGTCTCCTTTCTTGTCTTGAAGCAAGCTTTGTTTTGTGGTAAATTATCTTGATTTCTAGTAACGCGCTTCAACGGAACTGAGAAAGGTTCAGTGGTACACTACTTCCTCGCCCTGCTCTATACTTCTTCGGCCCTCCAATGAATTCTCTTGGTTTAGGTAGTTCGCTTTCAGGTTGGAATCGCCATCTCGAGTCCTCAATCTTGGTGATTCCGTTTCTGCTTGGAGATATGTTGTCTCGAGCGGGAGTGATAACCTGACTGGGGCTAGTGCCGTTGGATAAGGTGTACGAGCTTGGATCCAGTGTCGCTCTAATTGCTTGCTGAGAGGCTGACTTGGACGGCGGAGGCATTGAAGGGGCTGGTGGAGGTTTTGCTGGCGTTGATTGCTTCAAGGGGGAAGAAAAAGCAGGCGTAGGCGGTGGGAGTGCCACAGGAGAGCTCGACGCGTTCCCAAAAGCATTCCGTGCTGCGTGCATTGCAACCGATTGACTAATACTATCACTATATGAAGAGTGTGGGCTTGGAGGAGGTGGTGGCGTTGAACGAGCTGGAGGCGGCCGAGGTGCTGCACCTGGTGGTAGTGGTGGAGCTGCAGGGGGCGTATGCGCATTCGAAGGAGGTCGAGGTGCTGAAGACGGTGGTGGTGGTGGACCTGGAGGGGGTGTATGCGCACTAGGAGGAGGTCGAGGAGCAAAGGTGGGCGGTGGTGGAGGAGCTGCGGGTGGAGAAGGAACAGCTGACGGTGGTGGTGGGGGCGCGGCTGCAGATGGTTTCCTTGAGGTTATTGGTGGTGGTGGAGGTTTTGCTACGCTCGGTGGTGGTGGTGGAGCCCGTGGCGGAAGCTCTGAATTAGATCGGAAAGGAGCGTCCGAATTTGGTCTTTGGGCTGGTTTTGGAGGAGGCTTTCTGAGGTTTGCAACAAGTGGGTTAGCTGCTGCAGATGGCTGCGGTGGTGAAGACTCCGTTGTATGTGGGCTTGGCCTCAAAGCGTTCAATCTCGGTGCCGTTGGGGGTTTCGGTGCGGAGGAAGTAGGTGGTTTTGGTGCTGACTGTCTTGACGTTTCCGGATCCGATATGTACGATGATTCTCGATCTGCACCGGTGTCCACACCTCCTCCTGTTTTTCTCAGCTTCGGTATACCGACCCCAGCAAAGATTCCTCCCAATTGTGGTGCTGCACTTGCTCCACTGCTGTCTCCACTTCCAGTAGTCTCACTATTGCTCCTTGCCCGGTTCGACCTTCCTGTACCTGCGCCTGGGACTGGAGGTGCGAGGCCAATTGGAGGTCTGCTCAGACCTGGGACCGCTGGTGCTCCGCCATTTGGCGGACCTGCTGAGGCCCCAGACGTCTTTCCTACGATGGGCGCAGATCGGTCATTCGTAACAGCCTTTTTCAACCTCGCGCCTTTGGTGATATCTGTCAGAAGAGCGCCCTGGAATGGATGTCAGTCTTCAGCGAGAGTCCTTGAAGGCAGCGCAGCGTCGCTTGGATTACGAAATTGTAGGCATTGTAGGCTGGAGCAGCTTCCTTTTAAACGTACCCGATCTTTCGCTACCGTCGGCAACGGCTTAGCAGGCAGTTTGCTTGGCCCCAGAGGACCTCCAGGTGGTGGAGGGGGCGGAGGAGGTCCGGAGCCTCCAAATCCTGGCATAGGCGGAGGGGGAGGGGGTGGTGGAGGAGGAGCGGGCATGTTGTTGTCTTTGGGGTTGTACTATCCCATCACATGAATTATGGTATATCTCTTGCCGGTTTTCAGACCCCACAAATTGAAGATACGATTTACCATAGGAGCTATGAGAATTGGAGGTGCAATGATGTAAAGCGTATCGCATAGAATAGTACAAGTTCATAGCTGATGCCTTTGTCGTCAAATGCGCGGCCAAACTCCGCCCCGCTTGCTCTCCAACACCAGTTTTAGATTCTTTTGACGTGAAAGGAAATGGCAACCAGACTCTTCAGTCGCCCGCGAGCTCGGGTTTTCGGTATAATGGTGGAGAATGCCAATGTTTGCACCTTGGTGAGATCAAGACATCATGCGAGAGTCTATAATGCCGTCTGCTTACGCAAGGCGAGTCCTGTCGTTATATCACATATAAGCCACTCGGCACGCTCATTAGCAACAGCGAGACCAAGATCGCCACCTAACAGAAGAATACCATCGCCTTCACGAACGGCTGAGCAGGTACTCGCTGAAGAGCTCGAAACAGCCGCGAGTGTGGTAAAATCTGACGCTGTACCAAGCGAATCGGCAGTTCAAAGCGCGTTGAAACTATGTGAGAATCTAGCACGGAGCGTTGCGGAGCCGATTGAGTCTCCAGAGACATCTACCAGCGTCGAAAAGACTCCAACCTCCAACCTACTGTCTCTCGATGAACAGTCTCGAGCCCCAATGATGTCCTCCCCTACGAAGACGCTATCAAGACGAATTCTCGAAGACCCCACTCCCGACAGTATCTCCTCAACAGCCCACAGCATCGTAACAGATCCCAAAGTGTTCATCACACCGGCTTTATTAGCTACCTATCTTTACACACAATCCGTTCTGGGCCGCCCTGAATCTTTCCCTGTTATCTTCGACCTTTATGCATCCAAACCGATACCCCAGCCAGGAAGACTACCAATCAAGTACAAAGACGCCAATCCAAAACGTGCTTCCTCAGCGGTGCCCCTTGTCCTCGCGCACTCTGCTTTGACCGCTGCCATTAAAGCCAAGGATCTCACTCTCTGCCTCAGTATCATAGATACTAGCGTTTGTACCACGGCTTACAAACGCAGTAAGATCCTGCGCCGCGCCCTTTTGCCATTCTCAGGACTGGCATTGGCGCCTGCTGCGGCCTACGTCCTAGCTGCTCAGCTAGCTCATTATCAACACAGTATGGATCATCAGATGGCGACCAACATGGCATTCGCCGGAATTGTGGCATACGTAGGCTTCACGGCCACGATTGGAGTTGTCGCTATTGCAACTGCTAATGATCAAATGGATCGTATAACGTGGGCAACGGGGACACCGTTGCGAGAACGATGGTTAAGAGAAGAAGAGAGAGCGTTAGTAGATCGAGTCGCAGGGGCTTGGGGATTTCAGGACGAGAACAAGAGGGGCGAAGAGGAAGGTGGAGAATGGGAGGCGTTACGAGAATGGGCACTAATGAGAGGGATGGTTTTAGACAAGCCAGAACTGATGGAGGGCATGGAATGATAAGCAATGGTAGAGTTAAGGACTAACCTATCATAGAGACCGAGCTCGAACATGGTATCAGCCGAAGCAATTGTAGCTTCTAGGAGGGAGGTACACGAGCCGGTATGGAATAGCTAAAACTTAAACAAGAGGCGTTAGTGGAACAGCTCGATCGGCCTCCGGTCTCTGCCCCCGTTCGCGTCGAGCATTTCAATCAGCTCTAGAGAAGGCCCGGCGACACCACACTCCCTGGGAACGTAGTACGGAGATGGGACGAAGATAAAACGGTGCAAAGAGACGGATGTCTCTCGATGAATCAGTAGCTCAGCTAGAGAGAAGCCATCAATCTCATGGATCGAATCCACATGAGAACCAAAAGATTTGGAGTCAATCTCTGATCAATTTCATTGACTACGCTCTTCCAGCACGACCAACCTGAATGATCTCACTCGTCCTTTGCTCGTCACTCCTGAGCGCTGGCCAGCTTAGTCCGTCCGCTTTCACGAGCGTCATTTCTAGCTTGGTCCCCATGATCTTGTACATAGATCGAGCAGTATCGATAGGTCCAAACAATGGAAGCTCGGTTTTGTATCTCTTGTTGTCTTCCGTGGGCAGATCCAGAAGCACAGCGGTTTGGCTAGTGAACTCGACCTTTGCGCGGCCCTTGTCAATCTTTTTCAAGAACAAGCTTGCTATTACGCTCGTATGAGTCTGATAGAAATCATGCCTGTAAAAATGGTTGTCAACAAATCACACCCCATGATTTCCGGATACACCTCCGCTGTGGAGCACGCCAACCTACCTGACCTCTGATACTGCTTCTTCCTGTGCAGACTGCTTTTTGCTCCCCACGAAAAGGTGGTTGCTTTTCCGCTTGCAGCCCTCAATTTTCATGAATTCATCGAACTCCAGCACTCGCCTCTTGCAGCACGTCCATCCTTTGCTCCCTTCGTGGAACAGTGCTTGCCCTGGGTGGTAGACACATTCTTCGTCATCTCGCGATAAAGGAGATTCCACTGCAGAAGTGGCGTTACAGCCCCGTCGACGGCAAGTGATATTTGATGGTACTGGGATAGAAGGATCGTCGGAGTCTGATTCTGGGGGGGCAAGAAAAGGGGTGGCAGGCGGAGCCGGCTGGGCCACCCGGGGTGCCGGTAATTTCCAGATGGCGCCATTCGTAGCTAACGGTTTTGTTGGGGGAGGTACATCTTCTAAAACCTTGGGCGGTGGGCGAGGGGGTGTCTCGTCAACTGTGGAATGCTTTCCTGTAGTACAGGGTGGGATTGAAAGGAACTCGTCAAATGTCAAAAATCGAGGCTTGCAACATTTCCAGCCTATCTCATGGAGTCAGCCAGTGTTTGACAGATTCAGATAGGCCATTGAGAGGGCGCCCAGACACCTTTCTGCCCTTCATGAAATACTGGTGGGCCAGGGTGGTACACGCATTCTTCTTCCGTGTCTGTAAATTTCTTGCCACACCCATTATGGATACATTTTTGAGCCATATCTAGATGAGAGTATGAGAGGAAGTAAAAAATGGGGTTTGTTTGCTGATGATCCCTCGGATGTCCTGCAATCGTCGAAGCAATATTGCCGCGGGCTTGGCGGTGGTGGCGGCTACCGCGCCGACCTCCGTCCGACGCATTGCTCTAATGTAGACGTGTTCGATTAAAAAAATTCAGAATGGCTTCTTCTTCCTCTAGAGCTCTAATCGCACTAGGTACCATTCTTCTTGCCCACGCGTAAGGCCCCCAGGGTTTGCTTCGAAAAGTGCTGACATTTCCAAAAATTCGCAGATGCTATTCAGCCTATGAGCACTCAGCACTTCACCTGGCAGCGGGCCTCCCGCTCGACATCTCGATAGAGACCGTCCTCTCAGTAGTCTTCATATGCGTTGGACTAGTCCTTGGTGCCGAAGAGCTCAAGCCAATAAGCTGGAGAGTATGGGCAGGGAGAGCTGAAAGAGAAAGCGGAGGGGGTGGGCCATTCCAGGGGTTGGAGGATAGGCTTGGCTTTGTGGATATAAGGGTAGGTCTTCCATGCAACCGACTGAAAAGAAGGTGTAAATCTAGGTCTACGCCAATGTGCTAGATCTATCACTCAGATTTCGTGGGCTGATGTCTTTCGATTCACTCAGGTAAAAAGGAAAGATTTTGCGGACTGGGTACGGGACCAGGGGAGCGATAACAAAGGGTGATGAGTGAGAAAGAAGTATGTAGGTGTATGCCCTAGTCTTTTGGGTCAAGCTTCACTGACAGAGCAAAGCTTGCGGTTATACGCGTTGTAATTAGGTCGACATTCGAGATAGATACCCTTGAAGTTGTTGAGTCAGCCCTCAATTCACATCCTATATGTTATTCTATGTCAGAGATGTCACGCGCGAAACCACTGAGCATCCCCGCTAAATCAACTCTGGATTCGCATGAACCTCTTCATCGGAATGAGAGCACGGCTGCCAAGGAAGGAGGATATCTACCATACGAAAAACCTCGAGCGTACCACGTAATTGCCAAAGTTTGCAGCAGTAGACTTTTGCCGTAGCCTTATGTCTCTCACCACCAACTGCTGCTGTGTTCAAGGCACGGGACGGATCTAAAATAGGACTGTTGTGAAAGGCAGATTTTGTTATCCTTGTATATCTCACGAGGCTAGAATTGAAGGACATACTGTACTGTTTGCCCGTTCTTGTTGAGGCTTACAGCCGCTCTTGTGTTCCTCGGGCTGTGGCCCTTCACCCATAGATCATCTCTCAGCTTCTTCCGGCGGACTGGCTCTTGAAACATATTGGCACCTCCAGGTTTTTGACTTCCAATGCTAGTAGCAAGTATCAACCATGACACTTTCCAATAGTCCTCACGCATGCTTCACTCCCCCAATTACACTGCCCTTCACTTTCGCCCAATCGATTTCGCCATCCATCTGCTCATCCAGCAGTCCGCATATAGCCACATTCTCGCCTCGAATCAAGTATAGGCCATGCGGAACTTCTTCGCTATCTTCGGGGTCTTCATGTGGTCGGATTACGCGCTCGATGGTGTTTTGGAGGACGAGATTCGTCAACTGATCGCAGGAGAGCAGGGTGCCAGTCAAGGTTCTGCCATCTGCGGTGACGACCAGAACTTTTTCTGTACATGCACGATAGTCTTAGTACATGTTCTTAGGTTAGGCTTGCAGGGGACAAAAGTGTTTCTCACGATCGACATAAGGCTGGAGCGACATGTCCCTTCAAGCGAAATGCCCCAATTGTATTGACTAATGCTACGAATGAGAATTCCGTGAGAACACTGACATTGGTGCTAGCAACACAAGGAAGTCTTGGCGGCAGAAGACATACATTGGCGGTAGGGGTTTTTTCGCAATGCTCTGTATGCTAGTAATGAACGGAGAGTATTATAAGAGTTTTCACGGAATAAGGATTTCCTATAAGGAATATTACATCCAACCTAGAAATCTCTGAAAGGATCTTATAAGACTAAAGGGTCGCCATCTCGCTATCGAGATTTAGGGGGGTCGTTTAGGGGGTTCATGAGGGATTATAGGCTTCGCCGAGGGCCCGGGTACCCCGTATTTAGACCCCAAGGCTCGATGATCGCTGAGCTCCCGCGGGCCTAGGGATCGAAAATATTTCAATTTAATACTAACCTCTTTAATCTTATATTAAATTTAGAGATTTTTAAAAATAGTAATAGATTAGCGATAAGATTTAGATATATATTTAACTAGTTATAAATCTTCTAATATTACTTATAATAATTAAAATAGTTAAAAGATCTTATATCGCGTTTAATTAAACTTAAGATATATTTTAAAAATAATATAACGTAATAATAATAGAAAATACTTAAATATGTGGAATATCGATTTGATAAAGCTCCTGCCTATATATACTCTTACGATTCAATGAAAGGGCGAGTTACTAGACTATGATCATGACCTTTTTTTAAATATAGAGAAACGTTAAAGACAGATGCTCTTCGCTACGCGATAATACTTCTTTACGATATCTCTATTTTCTTAATCATTGAAAAATTAAAAAAAATCTGCGATTTTAACACTCCTCGATAATTAAAATTTTAAATTTTAAATTTTCTATATAATCTTACTATTACTTATTTTTATAGTCTAAAAACTTTATAAAATCTACTTACTATATTAAATAATCTACTTATTAATTTTAAAGAGTTTTAATCTTAATTTTATAAGTAAAATATAAAAAATAAGAATATATCGCGAACTTAAAAAATTTATCTCGACTATTTTTTTACCGCTAAGATTATTTTAAGAAAATTTAGAAATTTATTAAATCGTTATTCTCTAATAGAATAAATAATTAAGATCTTCTATAATTTAATATTCTTAATCTCTTATATAATTATTAAAATCTTAGAAGTTTTTAGAGTATTATAAATTATCGTTATCTCTATATTAATAAGTCTTAGAAAATTAAAAAAGTTACTCTAAGTATTCTTTATCGAAAATTAAAAATATATCTTCTTAAATAACTTTATAAATACGACTTATTATAATTTAGAAATATTATAGATTATACTTATTATTAAATAAACTTATATAATTAAATATAAGTAGATCTAGAGTTATATAGTAATATAAATTTAATAGTAGATATATATATATTTATATATAGATCTCGTAATAAGACTAATTCTTATAGAAGTAAAAAGAAAAATTAAAGAATATTATTCTTTTAAGCTTCTATACTAAGTCTATATATATTAAAAGTCTTAATTATACTATAACTTCGCTCGATAATTAAATCTTCTTTAAGAATCTTAGCTAATATTATCTTCTTTCTTCGAGAATTTATTCTCGAATTTATATTATATCTAAATTATAGATATTAGAAAGATTTATTAAAAAATTTTAAATTCTAGAGAGAATATAAGAGAAAGTTTTTTTTTTAAATTAGCTATATACTAATATAATATAATTTATAACTTTTTAAAATATTAAATATTACTTTTAAATATTATAATATTAATTTATAAATTATAAAGACTATATAATATATATACTCTTATTATATTTTTATAGAATATCGTAGAGTAGTTATCTATATAGAGTCTATTATTAATAATCTATTATTTATTTATTATTAAAACTAATTACTATTATTATTATTAAGATACGTTACGTTATCGTATAGTATATATTTATAAATATCTAAAACTCGCGATTATTAGAGTTTACGAATATTATTAAATATAACTTCTTTCTTTTATTTAAAATTTTTCTTTTATTAATATTTCATTAGATATTATATTAATCGTTTATTTTACTAATTTAAAGTATATAAATAACGTTATCTTTTTATACTCTCTTTATATATTACTAAATTTTAAAATAATTATTATACTTATAAGTATAATAGCTAAGATTATAGAGATATTTCTAACGTATTTATAGTCTACTTAATAATTAATTATAATACGCTTCGCTAATCTTATATCTTTTTTTAAAAAAAAAATTTATTATTATTATATTTATCGCGACTTTAAATATAATCTTAAGACTTATAACGCTTATTTTAATAAATATAAAAATATATTTAAGAAGTATAGCGTTTACGCTTATTAGCGTAATAATTATATCTTAATATAATTATATTATCTATTTAAATTTATAGCGAATATAAAATATTAGCTAATTTTATTTTTAAAAGATATTTATTTATCTCGAGATTATCGACGTTATAAATATTATATTACGTATTTATTCGCGCTATTAGCGTATTACGTTATATAAGCTTTAACTTAATAAACTCTTCTTTACTACTTTCTAATAGTTAAAAGATATTATTATAATTATAAATAGAGTATTAATATAATATTAACGTATATTAAATTACTTCGATAAATATAAAAAGCTTAATTCTATTATAATCTAATTAAATTAAGTAAAAACTCTATAAGATATTTTAAATATAATAATCGAGATATATAATATTATACGTTTCTCGATAGTTATCTATATTCTTATAATATATTTTATAAATATAATATATATATTAATTATACGTCTAGATCGATCTATCTTCTCTTAACTATTTATCTTTTAACTCTTTTACGCTATTAAGTATAAACTTAATTAAGTTTATTAATAGCGATAATAACGACGATTTATACGACGACGTTATCTTACGCGAGTTTATTATTCATATACTTATTAGCTTATCTTTACTTTATTTATCTAGAGAATCGTTTAATAGATATAATTTTCTTACTTTTTTTTAAGAATTAAAATAAGAATAAGAAGATAAAAAATATAGTAGCTATTATTACTTTAATAGTATAGTTAAATTAAATTATAGAATCTTAATTATATTCTAGTTATATTAAGACTTAATATAGCATTACGAAAGCCTTTTATAGAAGTCTCTGATAGAGTCGTTTCTACTAGGTCTAAGAGGCTTAAAAAGCCTAAATTAAATATATATTAGCGTCTTCGAGTATTCTCTACTAAAGTAGATTTCTAGATAATAAAAATATATCTTCTTTTTATATTATAACTTAATTTATAATAATATAATAGTAATACTCTAATTACTTATAAGTATTAATAATCTATATTTATAAGTAGATCTAATATCTTATTAATATTAATTTAAATCTCTTTTTTTAAATAACGTTTTCTCTAGATTAGTCTAAATTATATTATTATTAATAGCTATATTAAATTAACTTCTATCGCCTTCTTAAATATTATAATTATTACTACTTTAACTTTCGAAAGTATTTTAATTACTCTTTATTCTATTAATAATCTTATATATATTATATATTAAATTTAAATATTTATAGAAGATATTAATTAAGCTTAAGAGATCTCTCGTAAAATAGTAATTACTACTTATTATATTATAATTATTTATATATATTTAAAATTAGTAATTATAAGATCTAAGTAAGTATTAAAAGAGCTCTTTTCTATATATTAGAATATCGATATCTTATTACTTCGATATTCTATTAAAGTCTTCGACGATTATATAATAAATTTTAGAGCTACGCTAGTTATTTAGTACTTCTTTAAATATTATAAATCTCTCTTAATAGATAATATATCTATATTATTACGATCTATCTTTTTATTTATCAAATTAATTATATAAGTAGAATTCGCTATTATATTAATAGACGAAGTTATCTATAATCGATTAATCGAATCTTAATTATCTATTATTATAATATAAAAATTTATAAAAGTATAGCTCGCTAAGCTATAAGTTATAATAGTAGAATTTTATACTATATTAAATTTATTTAAATCTTTAGAAGATCTAAAGCTATTAGATAAATTAGAATTAATTAAAAATAGTAATAATAATAGTAATAGAGTTAATCGATTTAATCTAGATAATATTAACTTTTTTAATTTATTTTATAAGAGTAAGTCTATTAATATTATCTCGATAATAGAATATATTAATAAGAGTATCTTCTTTCGAGATATATACGTTTTTATTAATTAAGTTAAGAATATAGTATAAATTAAGAGTAATATACTACTATAATAAAATCTCTAGATTTATCTAAGAGAAATTATATTTACTTAATTTACTATTAAGCTAATTAAGAATAATAAATACTTAATTATTTATAATATAAATAAGTAATATCGCCTACTATTAGTATATTAAAAGTTATTATATTCTTAAGATATAGTAATTCTATTATAAGAAAAGTATTTAATATAAGATATCGCCTATTATTAAGAGTTATAAGAGTATATTTAAAGAATTATAAGAGTAGCTTAGAATACGGATATAGATATTATAAAGAATTATATACTATTTATCTAAAATAGACTTAATATAAAATTCTAGCGAGATATTTTAGAGCTAAACGCTATTACTAATTATAATTAATTTTTAAAATTATTTAATAAGTAAAAGTATTAATAATAAGAGTATACTAGTCGCTATTCGCGATAGACTTTATATTCTTAATAATAGTAGTAAAAAAGAATAGATTCTCATAAATATTTATCTCGATAATTTTAATCTTAATATTAATTTTAATTTTAAGCTTACTAGAATAATTAGTAATACTTATATCTATAGAAATCTTTTATATATAAAAATACTTATTAAAGTAATTAACGTCTCTTAATTTATTAAAACTATTAAAGTAATTAGTAATATTTATAGATGTATTAAAATACTTAAGAAAACGTCTATATCTCGCTATTAGCGTCGCTAA